GAGATGATTGCGTTCCAAGTAATGGGAATAGAGATGTGAGATTGACCTCGTGGGAAGAGAGACATGAGATTCATTGAGAGGTTCAGGCACAGTGGACCTCTTTCAGATCCATGCGGTGAGATTCTGAAGTTGTGATTGTGGAGAATTCTGTGTAAGAACGATTTTCTGTTCACATCTAATTTAATGCTGTTTTGCCTTCCCTGTATTTTTGTAGATGGTCTTCAGATGCTGATTTGTAGCAGTTAACATAATTTTAAGACCGTGTTAATTTAAAAGCAGTGATGAGTTTTTACCTTTCTTTAATCACGAATCATATGTGTTAAAATTCGCTTTCAATTTAATTATAATGCCATTGATGGAACCTAATTAAAGGAACTGTTTTATTATTTTGAATACGTATTCGTTGGTTTTATTAAAATGCATGTGCATTCAACAGAGAACATTTTGCTATTGTGAACCTGGCCACCTGAACAGATCTTGTCCCCCATTCTTCATCTCGCAGTGGATTGACCAAGGGCTGAAAATTACTAAAAATCTGTTTTTGGCAGTGCACGTCGCGAGAAGGGTTGATCACCGATGGGTGAGAATGCTGATGGACCAATGCAAAGATTAGCTTATGTGCAGGAGTGAGATGAATTTGGCATTACGGGACCACAAGGGATGGCAACGACACGGGGAAACCTTCATGTCGATGATGATAATTATTCATAAAGGACGCAGTATAAAGCACAAAACGAGGCAAAATAGTCGAACACAGTAACAAAAGGGCAGCGTAATATCCGTGAGGATTACAGTATAACCAGCACCACAGTAGTAGCATAGACGTCGGCAAACTACTCTACGATCCCAGAAGGAGTAAGGTTCAATTCCGCGCTGTAATGCACAAAAAACGGCACCAAAGCTGTGCCGAGGATTCTCTCTCATGGGCGCAGCATAACATTCCTGGGCCATTGTTGTTCAACAGAATAAGGGAGACAAACAACAGAGTCTGGATTATAGTGAGTGCCTATTTCGGCGGGCACATCGAACGACTGAATTTAAAAGTCCTTACCAGATAGCAATTTAATACTGATGATTTTGCAGGAATTGAGGGCCGGTGGATGGAATCAGAGTACAGCATTTGAACCCTTGACATCACTCCCCCATTCATGCATATCTCACGGTACACGTGTACTGTGCACAAAATATAGACACCCCCCCCTCCACGTAGCTCACCGAGACCCTTAGGACGTGCATTGAGATTATTTCGATTATTTTGCTGCGATAAATGTCCAAATGACGGGCCACTTTATTGAGCTATCATTTATGGCCAGGTCGCTTCTTAAAAATTTATGAATACCTTAGTAGGTTTTGCCTCGTAGGATGGGGATGGTTTGGTGTTTTATTTGTTTGTGTGATTTGTTTACCTTTCTGGTACTTTGCACTGCTACCGTGTTCTTGTACTGTTTGTTGTTGTAACGTTCTTACCCGCCCCTGCCGGACATCTGTGAAAAAATCTTTATAGCTCATCGGATTCCTCCAATAGAAATGAACATTCTGATTCTGAATTGTTGTTCGTGAGCACCGATTAAAGCCAGCATGGCGAATGAGCGGGTGGTGTGCCGAGCACCTTTACCGGGCTGCCTTTGTCTCCCCAGTTCTGATGTGTACGTATGTTGGACTTTTTTCGCACCGTACGTAGCCATACGGAGATGCGGGGGAAGCACAACTATCTGAACACAAAAAGCAGTTTTATAGAAATGAGTTTTCAATCTAGATTTAAAAGTGTACACTTTGCAGGAGGTCGTAATTTAAAGCCGAGTTGACCGAGGGGAGCTTCCAGGATCAGTTCTGATGTTACTCAGCACTGATGTAAGCCATGGCAGGGAATGTAACTTCGGTGACTGGGTTCCTAATTCAGGGCGTTCACCACTGCACCGCTGCTCTAAAACTGAAATGCATACGGGCACGTACATAAACACAAACACACGAACAGTCGTACACGTGCACAGAACGTACACACAATAGTGGCAGGAAGCGGCTGCAGGGGAAGTGTCCCATCATAGAGAGGGCTTCTGTAAAAATCTGGAATTCTTTTTTTTTTCCATAAATGTATTGGCTCACCATTGTATAAAAGTGCCCAGAACTGTATACGCTCGTTTATAATCAAATACAACTGACGTTAAATGCAGGTGAGTTGTTGAAAAAACATTTGTCCGCATATACAACACCAAAACGTAAAAAAAAAATCCTGATTTGGGCACCTGTCATGAGCGCTGTGTGATGAGGCTAAATAATACTGGTAGGAACCTCTGGTTACACCAGCCCACAGGGGATTATTGTGTCCGTCCGTCATGCAGGGAGGGGCTGGGTGGGGAGGGAGGGGCTGGGTGGGGAGGGGAGGGTGGGGAGGAGCTGGGTGGGGAGGGTGGCGCTGGGTGGGGGGTGGGAGGGGTGGGGCTGGGTGGGGAGGGGAGGGGCTGGTCACCCCGTGGTGCCCTTATACAACTCAACGTTTAACCTACTCACGCCGGCTTGTGCCCGCCCTCACAGTCGGGCATATTTGCGGAATACACCACGCGGTCGTTGACCCTGGCCATTGACCGAGCAACCCAACGTTCCTACCAGCTCCCTCCGCAGGAGGAATGTGTTTATCTTGCGCACAGGCGAACGATCCCACCCATGCGTCCCTCGATAGGACGTGGTGAACTTGCGAACAGCCATTGAGAGCAACGGCGCACACCGAGACACTCGCCCGGTGTCAAAAGTGAGAGGTGGAAGCAGTGTATGTGGGGGGGGGGGGGGTCAGAAGACGGCCCGGAGCATGGCGGCAAGATCAACTCGAAGCAGCCGAGAGAAATAACACAAGGTACAAGCAAAGTTACAATAGAAGGGTTAATAAGGGCAGAGGCCGGGAGGCAGCGTAGGCTAACGGGTGATGGTTGGGCCTGGCACAATTGTGGTCTCTTCTCAGCACTGAAGTGCTGCAGCGAAAACATTTGCAAAGAAGAAACGAAGCCGTTGGATTGAAGAGACGTTTAAACACATTGTCACAATAAACGCATGATAAGTGGTGGCACGGTAGTTGTCGTACTGTATTTTCAACCCGGTAAGCAAAGTTTAATTGCCCGGCCATGGTTAAGATCATTGGCGAGTGACATCCGAATAGGATTTGGGGCAACCCCTCCCTTCACTAACCTGCCCTGAGCAGCATCGTGAAGTTTGGTAAAAACAAATCCCGTGACAGACACGGCATGGCGAGGCCTTCAAACAGCAATGGCTTGACCAAGGGCTGTAAATGATCATGTTTTACTGTAAAGTGCTAGATAAATAAAAATGTCAAATATTTGGTAATCTGGGGTTGTAAAAATAAGATCAGTTTGCGATGTTAAATGTCCCCACATTAAGCGATTAACTTAGGAATCTTGATTACAGTATACTCATCACCATTTAGTGTGGTTTTGGAAAACACTAAATGGAGTTCATAGCATATGAGTGGTGGCACAGTGGTTTGTCCACTGCACTATGCACCAGGCTATCTCAATTTGATTCTTGGCTGTGAGTAACATCAGTGATGAGTGATCTGTGAACGAGTCTTTGTCTCTCACACTTCACCAATATGTACTGACTAGAGCGGTGAAGTATGTATGGTCCAACAATCCTCAATGTCATGCATTTGGGAGATCTTCATCCAGGAGTGACTTAACAAAAGGTTTATTGAAAAAAATACATATCTCATAAATTTCTTGGCAGATGCGTGCCGAATTATTTTACTAAATTAAAATATTTATATTTCAGCAGGTAAGGTCCAATGAGCGAAATAGCTCGTTTTTTAGAGGCGACCTGGCCACAATTGATCAGGCAACGAAGTGGCTCCTGATGTGATAAACTCGCAAATGTGAAGGAAATATGCCGTCCAGTTAGGACAGAAGCCTACTTGCTAAACTCTCTCAGAGCTTTCTCTTTGCTCTAGAGGACACCTCTTGCAGGCCCCATGTCTGTGTGAGCAACACAAGCCTCCTATACAAGTTGCAACCACACATGGGCCTTCCACTGGCCGCGGCCATTACGTTCCATCAATATTTGTAGACAAAAATTCGACCACGCACAAAAACTGTAATGTTGGGATGAAGGAGGTTTCGGAGCCATTACCTTGAGAAAGATAACGTTGGCAAAGTGATCCAACAGGTGTTTTTTTTCTTCTCATGGATATTGTCAATCGGTTGAAGGGGGGGGGGGGGAGGTCTTGTGTCCTTAATCTGGGACAACACGTGGGAACCGTGGCAAGGATTTTGGGGCAACTCTGGTCTACTCATTCCACAGTAGCCGCCACTCGCCATCCACAAGAGTCACGCTCTCGATGGCAAACGGGGCTTCTTGTGAAAACTCTACACGCCCCACCAAATTTTGCTGTTGTTGACGTAATACGCACGTCCACGTGAAGTCGCCGACAAATCGCCGCACCCCCCCCCCCCCTCCGCAAAAAACCCCCAAAACCCGAGAAAGAACGCAATTTGAATTGCGCGACGTTGCCCTGCCTGAATTAAAACCCAGAAAATGCAAGCCGCGGTCTGTGCATTCAAAGTGCCGGTTTGAAAGCCCTCGTTGCGCCGAGTGAGGAGGGGGGGTGCTTTGCATCTGGCCGCTTGCTTCACATGCAGCATAATGTCCCTCCTTGGCCAAGCGGACGGAGCTTAATCTCAGCAATGGCGATTGACGCAGACGCTCACCACACGGCCCGGCTCAGACGCCGGGCTCAGCCGCAGCTCCCATAGAAATGAGAGCGGACGTGCATAGACACAGCATTGTCCACGCCTTCTAAATCATAACCGCTGCTGCATGCTAAAATCGCCTCCGCGCCTCTTGCTGCACGCCGGCATGTGTGTGTGTGTGTGGGGGGGGTTTAGCGGCGTGAAGGATGGGTTTAAAACAAAACAAAAACCACAATAAGAGAAAGGGAATAATTGAATGAATGATGCGGAATATTGTTACGCTTTGCCCGATGGCAAACAACGTCCTACCTTTGAGAGCGTCATGGAGAAAGCTTGAGGAGGAGGAGGAGCAGCGCTCTCCCGATGCACGCACGCCACCAGCACGATTTGCTGACTGCACCGGCTGCCTGTTTGGTGGTGGGGAAGGGTGGGAGTGAGGGGTGGGTGGGGGGCAATCGGGGGTTCGGTGGAGGGGGGGGATCGGTGTTGGTGGGATGGGTGGGATGGTGGGATGGGTGGGTGGGGAGTGATGGGGTTAGTCACATTGTAAAAAAAAAGGAAGTGCGTCTATAAATGTCCTCCCTGCTGTGAGGCTGCGGTGGAGCCAGAGTTATTGAACAGAGAAAATTAAAAAAAGACAGCGAGCTCGCTAGCTGCTCCTGACCCATTGTCGGTTGTCCGACACAATGCGTGTTCAACCGCAAGGGCCTGGGCAGACCCAGCAACTTTTAATCCACTGCTGCACTCATCTCTGAGTGTTAACGATTATGATGTTTGTTCTAAACGAGTGTGCATCATCAATCTTTACAGCTCTTCCTGTGTGTAGTTAACGGTTGCGTTTACACGGTACATTAAACCTTGCGTCCGTGTTAAGTGGTTCACTAAAACACTTCCCATTAACAGAAAATACTGTCCTTTATGTGAATAATTACAGCACATTAAATGATAATTACCAAATGTTGTTTCTTCACCTAACGACCATTTGAAGCTCTAGTGCCCATAATGAAATTACAATGAATGTAAATATCAGAGGTGGGACAAAGTCATTGTTATGCAAGTCCAAGTCGAGTCTCAAGTCATCAAATTCATGACTCGAGTCTGACTCGAGTCCAAGTCACATGACTCGAGTCCACACCTCAGAGGTGGGACAAAGTTATTGTTATGCAAGTCCAAGTCGAGTCTCAAGTCATCAAATTCATGACTCGAGTCTGACTCGAGTCCAAGTCACATGACTCGAGTCCACACCTCTGGTAAATATCCATAAATAACATTGGCCTTTTCCCACGATTACAAAAATTGTCAAGCTCAGACGAGATCAAGGGCCCATCCCATCAGGCAGGCATAATCTGCTGCAAGCTGCTCTGTTGTCCCTCGCATCCCCCCCTTGATCACATGGGCACCCTCGCCCCCTGACTCTGTCCTCCTGGGTTTTTTTGCTGGTCCACGGAAGCCTCACTGATGCCGAGGGCAACTCGCTGGCGTGGGTCAAATTGCTTCTGCTCCAGCTCACACGGCCCATACGGTTCACTCCATTACGTTTCTACGGCCACGGGCAAATTTAATTTCGCGAGGAGCGTGCAACGCGAACGCGTCCCCTTCACTGACGTGTGCTCGCGAATGAAAAGCGTCACTTTTATGGGCGGCTGCGTAAAAGGGCAGTGGCATTTTACACGCGTCGCGGGGACTTTGAAAATACAGTACTCTTAATTCTAGATTTGAAGTTTTCGTGACTGTAAGGATCTATACTCTTTGGTTCTTTCGGTAAAGTCACGTAGATGAAAAAAAATATAATGATAAAATGAAAATAATTAAATTAAATCACGACGTTTCGGAGGCAACACAAGCTTCCGTCATCAGGTGGAACAATGTTGCTGTGGCTGTTCCACCTGATGACGGAAGCTTGTGTTGCCTCCGAATGTCGTGATTACATTTTTATTTTTTTCATCTACGTGACTTCACCGAAAGAACGAAAGAGTACAGTACTCTTCTCTACCTGCAAGACATCCACGATCAGACCCACTCGACCCCCACTCCAGACGCGACAGCACGGATCGACCGGTGACGACTCAAGGCACGTCTCGAGTGTCAGTGACTGCGTCGCTGCGTGACTTGACCGCGTGACCGACGACTGCCTTTGGAATTCCGCGATTCCTAATGGGATTCGATATTCTGCGGACAGTCATTTCAACGACCTTCACCTCAATGTGAACGCGTTCGCGTAGAACCAATGGGAGCGCAAACAAAACGCCGCAGACTTGTCCCTACGGGTTAGCACATGCGGTAGTGTACAGCATGTACTGTGTATTGATTTTTTTTGTTAACTACATCTCCGATATAATCTAGAATTGAAGCTTTCGTGACCGCAGAAATTACTATACTCATTGGTTCTTTCGGTAAAGTCATGTATGTAGAAATAAAATGAAATTTAAATAAATCACAAATAAAATTTAAATAAATCACAAATAAAATTAAAATATATCACGACGTTTCGAGCGCAACACAAGCGCTCATCATCAAGCGGAAATGGGGCAAAACACACAGCGAGGGAACACACAGAGGGACATCACACACAGAGCAAACAGAGAACGGCAAACTGCACGGAGGCAAATACAGCAAGAAGGTGGGAGACGCTAACTCAGTAAGTCTGGGGATTTTTGCACACAGCGTTGTAATACGGTGTTTTTTTTCTGGAAGATTTGCTGGTTTGTCCAGGATGTTTCTGTTGCGCGTCGCCGCTTTAAGATGTTCTCTGTTCATATTTTGTTTGTTGCGGTTGCACCCGACTCAAGAGCCGCATGGCTCACAGGGCTATACCTAATAAATGAAACTTGAAACTTGACATTTGCCCGATTGTTATCCGAACAGCTGAAATTGGATCGTGGAGAGGGGCAGGTGTGATCGTATGAGCGGCACTGAATGGGGTTATCTGGCACCATGAAGATATTCATTCACCCCTCTTGGACACAGTGCCCTGGAAACAGATATTTCAGTGTCAGTGAGACTTGGTTGCAAAGGAAATGCTAAGGTGATGTCGTACAGAGAAAATGTACAATAATCGTGTACACAAACCGGAACTTAATTTCAGCTGGGCCTGTCCAGGTAAGTGACGATCCATGAAATATTTTCGCTCCCGGCACACCACATCCAGTATACCCGTGGCTATGACTATGACCACTCGTGACTGCAGCCTACACCAGCGACATGGATAATATTCAATGAGAAATGAAGCCTGGACACAAACCAAAATATTGCATGCGTTTGTATCGTTATTGCTATTCAAGAGAACCTGCAAGCATCTCAAGTGATTATTATTTCTTGACGGACAATGTTTGTGTTTGTGGAAATCGCTAAAACAGAACGGAAAAAGACAAGCCTCACCCCTAGGGCCACTTGGGATGGACGCCAGGAAGAAGCTAATCGAGTTATTGCTGCAACAAAACACTCGCAGACAGTTTCTAATCTGAGGAAATTAGGATTAAAGATTTGCATATATAGCGCACTTAAAAGTCTGCAGCATCTCAAAATGCTTTACGTGAAATAATAAAACCACTAGAATACAATCCCCCCATGAGAATAGATGGTGCTCTTCTGACTTGAGTTCTGTGAGTGTCCTTTCAGGCAATAACATGACGAATGGAAAACATTGAAAATTTGTATACTGTAATTGATAGATTCAACATATTGATAATTATCTTGCAGTCGATTTGGAACAGGGATGATATCCAGAGCAGCTAAGATAATGTTGGATGAGTAATAGAGTATAAGTAGTAAATCTGGACTTAAAGCTTTCGTGACTGCAGCAATTAATATTCTTTGGGTCTTTCGGTAAAGTCACGTAGACAGAAATACTAAATTAGAAAAATATCACGACGTTTCGATCGCAACACAAGCAATCGTCATCAGGAGTATAAGTAGTGGCAGCAGTAGCCAGTTTTTATTGGTGTTGTTGGTAATGGAGTATTTGCATATCGGTATGCACTCTGGTATGCCATTGCAGCTACACAAGGGTGATCAAGGTAACTTGACAGACCAAATTAAACGCGTTTCATTAACTTTTTAACAGGACATTTCTCAAGTTCATAAGTTACGATGTGATGTTTTACCTTTTATGAAAGTGTATGATCATAATCATCATCATCAACAACAGTTATGCTATTCTTGGTTCTTTCGGTAAAGTCACATAGAAGGAACATAATAAAATAAAAAAAATATAAAACAATACAATTCTCACGACGTTTCGACGGCAACACAAGCAATCATCATCAGGTGCTTGTATTGCAGTCGAAACGTCGTGAGAATTTTATTGTTTAATATTTTTCTTACTTTATTATTTCCCTTCCACGTGACTTTACCGAAAGAACCAAGAATATGAATCCCTACAGTCACGAAAGCTTTAAATCGAAACAGTTATGCTCTTTCTATCCACTGCTGGACGAAGGCCTCCCCAAATTGCCACCATCTCTCACGGGCCTGCGATGCAACAATTCATCAAACTCCTTGCAAACGAACGGATTTCATCGCTCCATCTCTGCAGTGGATGTTCTATGGACCGTGTTCCCACCTTCGGAAATTACTCCCATCCTTCGTCTCGACCGTAGGACATCATCCCTTCTAGTCAAGGCCCATCAGGTGGACCTTTGTTTTTCTTGGTTCTTTCGGTAAAGTCACGTAGAATGGAAATAATGAAATAATAAAAATAAAACATAATAAAATAATTCTCACGACGTTTCGGCCACAACGCAAGCAGCCGTCCTCAGGTGAAAAATAGGTCTGCCGAAACGTCGTGAGAATTATTTTATTATATAGTTTTTATTATTATTTTATTAATTCCATTTTACGTGACTTTACCGAAAGAACCAAGAAGATGAATCCCTGCAGTCACGAAAGCTTTATATCTATATTTGGACCTTTGTTGTTTATAGTTTGTCTGCAGCAGAGAGAATGTTGGCGTCTGTGATTATGTGTGTATATGCGAGTTTTAGCCACCAAAGCGACGGGGTCTGGTTATTGCGACGTCACCCAGTGGTAGACGAGGGGGTTATACAGCATCGTCTGTGGACCCACAAGCACGTTGTTTGTCTGCAATGCACAATCTTTGCCACTAGGTGGAGCTACACACTCAGAGTGTTATGGACTGAACGTGTGACGTGGTAATTATGTTTCATGCAGGTCATTTATACAAAAAAGATACAAAAATGTATATACACATGACAAATCAGAATGAATTATTGCCAAGTAAGATCCCCCCTGAAATTATTGACGTATAAAATATTGAAGCCATAGGGAAATTAAAACAACATTTAAAAGGCTGACGTTTCAGGCTATGAGTCTTCTTCAGGGCAGAGAGAACAACAATTGTAGGAGGTCGTAGTTAATCTCTCTGCTGTACTGCATCTCTTTCTGC